CTGTGATGATGCGGGATTAACTAACTGATTTTCTTGCAGGCTGAGTAGCTCTTGTCGAACATCAGCAGCGGGCTCTGGAATGGTTGAAACAATTTGTCTAGAAAGTTTACTGAACTTTATCAATAAAAAACCTAATTTTTTAGTTTGTGTGCGGTGTTTTGACGCAATTTAACAACACGCTTCTAATATAGGTTATATGATAACTATTAATGTATAAAAGAACATGGTATCCTATAAGTTGCGAATCATTTTCAATAAAAATATTTCTTAGCAGATTCTGCGTACTGGAGGATTGACTTTACCTGAATAACGGTGTTGGAACATCAATGCTGAAAGCCCTAGCAAGACAACAGCGATGACGAGAAGAAACTTCAGGCCATAGGACCGTAAGTGAGCTCCAGGGATAGCTTTATACATTTGAAAAAATTCAAGATATCTCTGTCAAATTATGAATTCTCCTAAATATGTAGTTGACTCCTTTTCGAGAGCATGAATCAGTTTTATTAATACGACAGAAATAATGGTTTGACTTCAAAATGGTTGACATCAACCATTAGTTTGTTCTGACTCTGGAGGAGACAGAGGGAAAGATGGATGACGTACAATGTGGTCCTATGCGAAATTTACGATCTTCCTAATTCATTTAGTCTATTAAGTGTCGTCTTGTACGGAAATTAAATGAAAATGATATTATTATACGTTGCCTCTGAAAAAAAACGTAGAAAAACTAAACTGTGCTTAGCTTGATTATAATCTATTGATTATAATCAATAACTATGGAGAACGCTAGCCTGTCGTCAGGCAAGTTTTGGCTTGGCATGCGTTGCACTAACATAAATTGGAATAATTCTATTATTTATTTTTGGAACTTCTATATTTTGTTATGAAACTGTTCGCTTTAATTTTAAAACCTCTCCTATTGCGTTCTCGTACCATTTTTATTGGTGTCTATGGCTCTTCATTTAGTAAAATAAAAGCTTAAAAAACGATCAGGTGGCAAACTTTAAGCCGGTGATGCAGACATGTTTGCAAGGATCAAGCCATTTCTAGTTAACCCTAGGGTAATATTTACATTCGGCGTCAAAATCTGAATCCATTAAGGTGCTTGTACACGGGGACAGTGCAGGCGGCAAGTAGATCCGGCAAATGTCGGCCGCTTGGTGACTATCCGGCAAGTAAGCCTGTACACGAGGATAGTATAAGGTGCCGTTATCTTCTCGTTCGCACCCGCCAGTGCGTCGTTAGAAGCCGTCGAGTGAGGTCCGTGAAACTGGATAGTGGGATCACCTTCAACAACTCTTCTGTACGTTGTTTTAATACTCTTTATTCCAGCCTTTAAAAATGCATCGTCGGGAACAACTAAACCCTGACTAACAAGGTCTTCTTTCACTTTCAAAATACTCGTTTCTCTCTTCATTTTGTTGGAGTAACCTTCTTATAATAATACTTAATAATATACCGGCATGGCGAACATTCCACATTAATTCATATTTTTGGAATATCTCAAAGAACAATTGAATATCGTCTGGACTCTACTTTGTTGAGTTCTTCTTAGAACCATTATTGTTCAAACAAGCCATGATTCACTTGACCCAAAATGCTTCACTAGAGCGGCACAAATGTTCTCACCATGGCTGCATGAGCGCTACTGTCCGCTTCTCCAGCGAAAAAATCAACACATCGTTGTCCTCGGTCGCGGGGATTCTTCATTTGCCATTAGTGTTCATTATATTCTGTAAAACCTTTGAAACATTTAAGGGGCCATACTGATTTCTCTTGTGTCTATTTTAGTTCTGGTTGGGGAGACTATCGGTACACCCGAGTTATAACAGCACAACTACCACGACATTTTGTTATCGTCGGTAGATCTATTGAACCGCTCAGTCTTGCCAGGCGCGTGAGCTTCATACATCAATCGTCTGTGATTCTACCGCCAGTCGTCTGTGATTCTACCGCCAGTCGTCTGTGATTCTACCGCCAGTCGTCTATGATTCTACCGCCAGTTGTCTGTGATTCTACCGCCAGTCGTCTGTGATTCTACCGCCAGTCGTCTGTTATTCTACAGCCAGTTTTCTGTGATTCTACCGCAGTCGTCTGTGATTCTACCATCAGTCGCCTGTGATTTTACCATCAGTCGTCTGTGATTCTACCATCAGTCGTCTATGATTCTACTATCAGTCGTCTGTGATTCTACCATCAGTCGTCTGTGATTCTACCTTCTGTCGTCTGTGATTCTACCGTCATTCGCCTGTGATTCAAGCGTCGGCTATCTGCACTCCTTGAAACGACCTTATTTTGTTCCTATATGTTATGGATACGCGTCTACGTCCTTGTCTATTCGTTTATATTCAATTTTGTGCTCGTCTGAAGTCCTATGGGATTTCGCGCTCCTGTAGGGGATTGTTATTATGTAGGTAGGATTCCATACATCAAGTTATTATGTAGGTAGGATACCTTACATTAAGTTATCATGTAGGTAGGATTCCTTGCATTTCTCTTCTCTGTCTCCCTAGTGCGGGCGGCGACGTCCCGTGTAAGCGTTCGAGTGTCTTAGTTTTTGTTGCTTGTCACCTGTCCCTCCTTGTCACTTCGTCTCTTTGCGATGCTAACGCTGCTTCTTTCGAGCCAGCTTCAGCGGGCTGGACATATGAGACCTTCCGCCCCTTGTTGATAATGATTAATTTTTAATTTTGAATAATTGAGACCTTCTGCCTTGCTGGCAATGTTATCTTTTGACCTCCGGTGCGAAATTGCTTTATAGCTGAAGCGCTAGAACACAATTCTACAGTACTACTACTGCTGCTGCTACTACTACTACTATTACTACTACTATTACTTCTACTACTACCGTAGTAGAAGTCTGTGTCTACCATCAGTGCATCGATACAACTACTACTACTACTTATATTCAATTAAATACATTGTGTGATCCGCCCCTTATTACCTATCGATTCGATTGATGCCGTTCAACCTCTCCGATACCCTGACAATGTTATCGGATGAAATGATTAGATGGGAACGTTATCAGCCCTAATATTAGTTCAAGTTGACCACCTGTTCAGTTGACCACGTGTTGCAGTCCACGAGAGAAACACTCGAGCAAATGTTATAGTAAAGCTATTTGATTGAATTTTCACTTTGCGTTTATGTTCTACCCAAGATGTTATCGTCCTTATTTCTTATTTCGTCCTCTCGAAGTGTGCTCTCGGCACTATCCTTATAGTGCCCTAACACAAACACACAACTTAGCAAGCCTGTTTGAAGGTAGCCTAAAAAAATGTTCTTTCATAATAAACTTATAATTTTTTTCGAATACTAGAATAAAAACTAAAGCCAATTATTTGTTGAATAATATTACCAACAAGTTGCTAATCATTAATAACTGATCAGCCGGCTACCGTATAACTAAACCCATTGATTAGTTCACAAATCGAATGGCTTCGCAGTCGAACAAAATTAACGCAGATTGCTATCGTAATATTCTAGATTCGAATAAATTAACCAGTAATACTAGTAGGAAGATTCAATTATTAATAAATTCTGTGTATCAAAAGCTCACTTCCACAACTTAATATCAACTGAAATAATGCGTGATTATTCGACGCTAATCTCATAATTAACCATAACCATTCACGTAGATTCTTGCACCAATTAATAATAATGGAAAATTCTATTACTTTTGCCGAGCAGATTAAGGCAATTATTACAAGTATTTCTGCAGCGTGAATATCGGGACGTGACAGCTCTTCTTATATATACATACTCTGATGACATACTCGTATGTCCACTACTTGGAAATATGCATGCAGTTATATTGGGTCATACGGAGGAACGTTCCTAGCACACATTTGGAAACACTGTAACGTGGGAACCTGGACTGTACAACTTTTTGCAATTTATTTAAAAAATTGAAATTAGCAATAAATTTGATCGAATTTTCATGAGCAAACATTCAGTATAATTCCAACGTTTCAAGGTTGCAATTGCAAGGAGTTCAGTTGAAGGCTCGGCTCTCTCTCTCTATCTGCCAATTTACTTTTCTTGAACTAAAATGCTGATCATAAAAATTATACTGCAGAATTCATGTTTTACGATTTTTGGACATCGCAGGAGATTGTGAAACAGGTATAAGCGTATTGCACCGAGGAACCCATGATAAAAGTTACAAGATGCATTCACGTTAAAAAGAATGTTGGCCCCAAATTAAAAAAATACTATAAACTAGCAAAAACTTTCAAACACGAAAAAGCACAAGATGAGACCCAGTTATGTCCTGGGTTTAGTTAAGCAATTTTTCTTCAACTCGCTTGTTCCATGCATGGAAGAACCAAGTAAGCAAAGCAGTAGTGCGACATCAAGTTGAAAATGTTCTCTAATAATCCCACAAGTGCAAACGCGACTTGACTTTCGCATGCTAAACTAGTCTAAAATGCCTATTACAAAGAAAAGAATGTAGAGTTTACCATAATCATTGAACGCAGAGCTTGAAAAGAATCACAAATACGACTTATAAGTTATAACTAACCAGCTCTGCCGGCTCTTCGCAAGCAGCACAATGGATAATGCGCGGACTGCAACTGACCGGCACTAGAAACCCCGACTATCTTAACAGCGCGAGTAAAACACCGTGGATAAAAACTGTGCAAGATAGGTGAGAGGGTTGTTGTTGCAAAAAGGTGTATCAATTCATAACACAGTGAGTGAAAGAATGTTGTACACTCACTTACTTAACCTCCCACCGCCGTATGTCACTCTCCGGGAACATAAGTTTCAACTTAAATTATACGTAAACTATTGCGTGTAGCAACCTGAGGACGTTTGTACGCAACAGAGAACATTTTAGAGTCGTCGTACGTGGCGGCAACCATCAGTGCAAGTCATTTTACGCTCACTAGAACGTATCCTTTGCGGGAAGTAGGCTTGTGACAATATTGGTCCAGTTACTCATGCCCGGCGGTAGAGGGTTGAAAATGTTGTAAGAAAGGTTCATTCACAATACGAGCACTCTATAATTTTATTTAGGAATAATTATTGAAGAATATATTACCGAGACACCTCCCATCGTAAGCAAGACGAAATAAATTAAAGAGAAGTGTGACTCCACTCTGAACTGAAAGAATAACAAAATCACACAAAAAAAGCATAGGAATGATCGCATTACAATGCACTAAGATAATAGTAATACAACTAATCCTCGTGAACACTAATTACCTAATACGATATACGAACTACGTATTAGTATCTAGCAATAGCTCTGCAGGCTGACAAGCCAGTGCGCTTCACAGGTACGCATGAGACGTTCTAGTTAACTTGGTTAAGACGTACGTGAAGTTATGTCTTGCAGTAATATGGTTGCCAATCTTACATTGCTTGAATCCTTTAATTCAAATCGGGCGTTCAATAAAGTTTCATATTTCTCAAACTCATATTTATTAATCAGTTTTATTCACTTTGTTTGATCGAAGTCGATAGTCTTGCAGACACGTTTATGCTGTGAGGTGGCAACTTATTTTACCGCTTGTTCAGTAAGGCGACAGGAATTTCGAAAACAATCGTAAGCAACAAACAGTAAACTTTTCACTCATTGAGGCAAGACGTGGGGTTCTTGCGCCGGAAGACCATGGACGTGTTGGCCAAGTAACCTGTTAAACGTCCCTTCATACGCTTCTCCGCCTCTTCGTCCGAGACGAAGCCTCGGTCCAGCATCTTCTGCTTGATGTAGTCGTTGTTGTGGTTGTTGACGTGATGATGACCACCCTGGCCCTCCACTGCCCATGTCAGCACGATCCCTGAACATGAATGATGCTTGTTAGGAAATATATTAATAAGCCAGCAGTTTTTTCGAAGACTTCTCATTCCCTTGCTCTGAAATGGACATTATCATTATTCCCTTGATCCGGGTAAAAAATTTGACACTGTCGCTATAATGTCCGGAAACAATTCTATAACCGTACCAACTATTATAGTTATGTACAAAAATCAGGTAGAATTCAATTCAAATTTATTGGTTATAATAATCGGATACTCTCGCAGGTCTCAAGCCCAATCTGAAGAATAATCACTGTAGCAAGAATGTTCAGACTTCCTACACCACTCTAACCGCGCGGTGCCCCCGCTTCACCGGTGTTTTGCCTAGTAGCTCCCTGAAGGCACTCCTGCAACATCTTAGTTTGGCCACAGTCCTGGGCATATACTTTCAAAATTCTCTAAGTGAACGGAAGTACTTACGCTCTATTTTCTTGTCTATGATTGGTGGATTTTGCTTGAAAGGCCGTCAATGATTGGATGATGAACTTTCGATCTTTTAACTTTTTTTGAAAGTATATGTCCTGCTCTCCTCTTGGTCTGACGTTGTGGTGGTTCAGCGAGAGCAAGGTTCCCGTAACTCGGGCTCCGACGTTCTCCTGCTAGGCAGCGGTTCTCTCGCTTGCGCTACACGGTTCTCATGCTTGCGCTACATTCTTCCTCAAGCTCAGGAGACTTCAACGGTGAAGCTTGTTTCTTGGCCAGTACTTTGCTTACCTCGCTCCCAACCAATTTATTAAAACTGGATGATCTTTTGGGACTGGGCCGTTGATAACTATTGAATTTCACCGATTTTTTTTATATAACTGATGATATTACATTGACTCCTTTTTTCACGTAAATTTCTGCAGATGGGGATTGTCTACCTGTAGGTGCGATGTTTGTGACCAGCCATGAGTGATCGAGCCAGCCAAGACACTTTACTTCCCTCTTGACATAAAGCCTATTTAGTTCCTTGTAGTGAATCCTTTCTTATTCTCCTGGAGCTTGGAGTCAGAAACGGAAATTTAATATAGGCGGAATTTCATTTGGTCCGTCATTAGAATTTCTAATTAAACTTTTTTATCTTTGAATATGAATTTGCAATTTTGTTATAAGATAAGGTTTCTTCATACGCATAGTAAGCTTGGTACGCTACAATTTACAAAATATTAATAGCGCTCTGTAAAGCGTTGGCTTGCATGTTAGAGACTGGCAGCTCTTTATTTATCGGTTGTAATACTAAGTCTTTTGTTTCTAATTAAATTTTGCATCGAGTGTTTTCTAATATAACTAAATCTAAACTTTTTATCAGTACTGCCGTAACAAGCCAAAAATATGTTTCTCAGTATTTCAAATCCTTGTGAAAATTTTTTTGGTTCATTGTTTTTATGAGGTTCCTTCAAAAAAGTTTGCGTCCAAGAACGGATCTCATGGGGAGTAAACAAAGTCCTTTCTTACTGAGGTGAACTAACAGGTTGACCAGGTTTTCTTCCGAAAATTGTTTGTGATAAGCTATGAAAATTGTGATTATTTGTGAAAATTGTCTCTCGTTTCTCTGGGACGTTTGCAACGTTTTTATTGATTTGACGAGGCATTAATAATATAATACTAGCTTGAGCTTTCATTTTGGACGATATTATTTACCTACACGTGCAATTTTATTAAAACAATCAGTGTTACCTGCACAGGCGTGGCGTGCAAGGTTGTCGAGGAAGAAAGCCTCGCTGTTGCTCGGGATGTGCTCCCCAACCTCGATGCTCATCACCCAATCCCACTTCCTGCCGAGCCAGAGGCCCTCCTCGCTGAGGTCGGCGTGCGCGATGAAGCCGCCGCTCACCTCCTCGATGGCGAAGCCCCCGTCGAAACCTTCGGGGCGGCGGAGGGCAAAATTGGCTTTCCGTTATGTGACCAAAAATGCATGGAAATACAGACTTATTCATATACAGAAACGATACGAAAAGAAAGCAGTATAAGCCCCCGTCGAAACTTTCGGGGCGGCGGAGGACAAAATTGGCTTTCCGTTATGTCACCAAAAATGCATGGAAATTCAGACTTATTCATATACAGAAACGATACGAAAAGAAAGCAGTATAGCATATTGAATTGTAATTTCGATTATTCAAAAGTGTTGGCTCTCGAGTGCAACAATTTTTTGATAAACACTTAACGGTTTGCGGAAGGAACGATACATTCAATTTTTTATCACGCCCTGAGACTAAGAGATGCCTTGAAAAATTTTTACCTATATTTGTTGTTTTATAGAGTATTTTCCCGACTAAATTCGAAGTATTCCTACTAAATTGAGGCATGGCAAGTGATCTCGATAATAAAATTTTTGGCACTCAAAAAATGCAATTTTTGAGAAAAATTAATTTATCTACACATTGAAACCACACGTTTCGAATGCCCCATTTCAAATAGTTTAATTTCATCAGAATGAGTAGGGGCATTTATTATTAGGGCACGTACGTAGACCTTTTCTGCTGACTACACATGAAAAGAAAAATGGAAGGAATAATCTTGTATCTCAAGCTATTATAAAATTTGAAGCTCATTATCAAATCATTCAAATAATGAATGCGCAAAATAATTTTTCTCTTCCAGTGTATTCGGTACATAGTGAGGGTTACCGAACTTCGACAAGAAGTTTACTAACCATGCCAAGAAGCCACAACCTGAGGCTTGTCTTTGAGGCTCTTGAGGGTTGACTTCATGTCATCGTTGTATTGCTTCTTTTGTTTTTCGTCGAGACGGAAATCAGTTTGGTTCTTACGCAGCAAGCACATGCCGTACTTGCCGAGTCCCGCGCCGAAGTCCGCCACCGAGGCGTTGCCCACCAACTCCTCCACGAAGTAGCAAAGCTGCGTGGCAATTGCATGATCAGGAAAGGCTGATGGGTGATGAAATTCTTTGAATTGTTGTCATTAAGAAAGTGCCATATCACATAAATACTTACATCGAGTATGGATTACAAAATTTTGCGACCATTGGACTTGGGTTTTGTGCTTTATAAATTTTAATCGATTAGGCGATACTGTGTCCGTCCAAAAACGCGCCGCGAATTTTGAAAAATCTCGTTTTTCTTTCGAACTAAACGGGAGTGTGTAATTCAATATAGCTATATTCTAGACATGAAGATAACGGCTGATATTCCCTTCAACTCGGCTTCGAAGACTCCCTTGTAGAATCGCGTCACCTCGGCTTCAAAGATTATGTTGCCGCCCGTCTAGATTCCTCTCACCTCGGGTTCGAAGATTGTGTTGTCGACCGTATAGATTCCTCTCACCTCGATCGTTCGAAGATTATGCTGCCACCCGTGTAGATTCCTCTCACTTCGGGTTCGAAGATTGTGTTGTCGACCGTATAGATTCCTCTCACCTCGATCGTTCGAAGATTATGCTGCCACCCGTGTAGATTCCTCTCACTTCGGGTTCGAAGATTGTGTTGTCGACCGTATAGATTCCTCTCACCTCGATCGTTCGAAGATTATGCTGCCACCCGTGTAGATTCCTCTCACCTCTGCTTCGGAGATTATGTTGGCGCCCGCGTAGATTCCTCTCAACTCGGCTTCGAAGATTATGTTGCCGCCCGTGTAGACTCCTCTCACCTCAGGTTCGAATATTATGTTGCCGCCCGTGTAGATTCCTCTCACCTCGGGTTCGAAGATTATGTTGCAGCTCGTGTAGATTCCTCTCACCTTGGGTTCGAAGATTATGTTGCCGCCCGTGTAGATTCCTCACACCTCGGGTTCGAAGATTATTTGCTGACCGTGTAGATTCCTCTCACCTCGGGTTCGAAGATTATGTTGCCGCCCGTGTAGATTCTTTCCGCCGTGACGCAGAATCCGCCGTTGCTCATCACGTCCTGCGTGGTGCACCAAAGTTTCTCGATGGCGTGCGACATGCGGGCCAGACGACGTTCTAGGATGCCAATCTGAGAAATTCATTATTTATTACTAGAAACACAAAAATTAAGCACAAACTACAATTTATGACCAACCTTTTCATCGATATCACAATACCTAACTCTAAAATTTAAATGGTGAAATCTTTGAAATTATTGTAGAAACGTATAATAATATAAAAACTATGACATTTTCTGAAGTCTCGTTTTCGGTGAAAATGCCTGAAGATATTCTTTACTGATAAAGCTTAAAATATTTGGGACAAACAATTACAAACCAAGCCAAATCTTGTCTGTTGCCGTTTCTTGACATCGTACAATTTCTACAGCTTTTTAGGGCCACCTCTCAGATGTGTAACAGGACTGTTACAGGAAGCTGGGATTGAACCCGCAACTCACTGCTCCAACCTTGGTACATTTAAATGTAACCACTGGGCTAGCCTGGCTCAAATGCTCTATGATATCAGAACAGTAATTGCAGTGAAGGCGAGATGGTTTACGGATGATCACACTCTTCAGAACCCTTGTAATACCTATCCTTGAATACTGCTGCCAGCTCTGGACTCCGTTAACACTAGGCGCAATACGGCAACTGGAAGGAGTCCAACGAACCTTTACTTCCAGGATCAGAGGGATGGAGAATTTTAACTACTGGGGGAGGTTACAGCGACTGAGTCTGTACTCACTGTAGAGGAGACGGGAGAGGTATGTCATTCTGTACACATGGAAAATGATAACCGGAATGGTGCCAAACTTCGAGAGCGAGACCTTCAGGATTATGACATATCACAACGAGAGAAGGGGGAGACTGTGCAAGATCCCAAAAAGAATCGGCGACAGGCCACATCAGGCCTACACTTCAGCGCCGACATCAATATGTTATGTTATGTTATTATCGTGATGACTGATCTCCTGGACTCAAACATGGAAGCTGAACAATAACATGTTATTAACGTTTGAACACATTTACCTATCCAGAAACTGACATGCATGGGCTGTGATGGACAGATAGACGGCATAACTTTGGTACCTGAGGAGATTTGTATTATATGTGAAGCAATGATTACTTATAACGGATTAAACTAGGATAAATGGGCATGCGAAAATGAAATTGAAATTTCGCCCTCCTCATCAAGGTATCCCAAGTATGACAAAAATATCGTTATTTACAATGTAGAATATGATATTGAGAAAGTGACACTGTAAAAAACACCTTATGTTTAGAATCTAAGTGAGCTTGCCGCATGCTCTGTTAATTTGCAATGAAAGTTTTTATGGCTTAATGTTTAACTTTGACTCTGGAATTAGCCAAGAATATTCCATGTTTTTAGCGAAGTTCTCAACTGTTTGCCCCAAAAACAACGGATTCGGACAACCTCTCCTCACTTCTCTGAGTGATGCAATCCCCAAGTCTATCTACTTGATTTATTTTATTATCAAAAATAATTTACATTTTTTAAGCCCATTTCCTTTTCCTATCTATACAGGCAAGCCTCCCCAGGTTCTTATTGCTGTTGCAACAAAAGCTACCAATGGTTTGGAGAGAAGAATAGAGAACTGGTCAGCAGCCCTTTCAAAAAAAGTTAAGAGATCGTAAGTTCATCAGCCAATCATTGACGGCCTTTCAAGCTAAATCCACCAATCATAGACAAGAAAATAGAGCGTAAGTACTTACGTTCACTTAGCGAATTTTGAAAGTATGGCCCACTGGACAGCAGCCCTTTCAAAAAATTGAATAATTTTCAAAGTATTGCTCGTTTGTAAAACCAAGGGGCACAAAAATTTTATCTGCACCTCAGATACGCTCTAAATTTGCGACCACATTCAGAGGGCAATAGAGTTCCGAAAACTGCCGCTGATTGCTTTGTAAAACCTACATATTCAAGAAGCTATCATATTAAGGTAGTTGTTTGTAAATACCTACGTATTTACGTTATTAAGTTTGTAAATACCTACGTATTTACAAACAACATAGATCTTTATTAATGCGAGGGTTCCATCGTAATTAACTTATTTTTAAAGTTGTTGGCTCTTTGATTTATCTTCCCTAAAAAACACTCCCAAGAACCAACCTTATGTTGCAATTTCTGTAACGATGCAGGATGAATTAACTGATTTTCTTGCAAGCTGAGGTTCTCCTGTCGAACGCCAGAAGCGGGTTCTGGAAGGGTTGAAAAAATTGTCTACAAATTTTACTAATGTAATGTAGGTAAAATAAATTAAATTTCTTTCCTGTTTGCGTTACGTGTTTTGACGCAAAATAACTCCACGCTTCTAATCTAGGATACCACGAGTGGATAACTATAATGTGTATGAGAACATACAATCCCATAAATTTTGAATTATAGTCGGAAAAAAAATATTTTTTATCAGATTCTGCGTACAGGAAGGTTAACTTTACCTGTATAACGGTGTTGGAACATCAACGCTGAGAGCCCTAGCAAGACAACGGCGATGACGAGAAGAAACTTCATGCCATAAAACCGTGAGTGAGCTTGATGGATTTGAGCTTTGAACATTTTACAAAAAAAATAATTCAAGATATTTATGGTAAATTATGAATTCTTATAATAATATTTAGCTGACTCTTTTTCGAGAGCACGAATCAGATTTATTAATGCACCAGAAATGATGGTTTGTCTTCAACGAATGATGGGCTTCAACTATTAGTCTATTCTGATTCAACTATTCGTCTATTCTGGTCAATTTAAAGCAAACGATATTATTGAACGTTGATTATTGAACGTTGCGTCTGAAGAACAATGAAAAAGTAAACTGTGCAAAGCTGGTTATAAGCTGTAGATTATAGATTATAAGGGACCTGCAAGGGAGTCCCTTGCAGTTCCTTATATATGCAGTCTTATAGATTATACTATAATCTATATAAATAGATCGTAATCCATGCATTATAATATGCTGGCGAAACATTGATAATTACAGTAGAGTGGTTCATGTATGCACCATGTAGACAGCATTTGCGACACTATCATCGTAAAACGAGTGATTCGATCGATGATGGTTTATTGGAAGAGTATCTTCGGTGGCGCATCGATGGAACATCGATTTCACGTCCGCAGACGGCTTTCCTCACAAAAATTTCCTGCTATTTTGACTTCCTACCCTTTGAAATTTGCAAGCCCTTTATAACTGTTGAGCCTTTCTGCCTCATTTTCTATAATCATTTTAGATGGAAAAGCAAGCTTAATTTTGATGCTTTACTAAAATGACGTAAATCACTTTTTAGAAGCAAAAAATTCAGACATTTCATTAAGTTGCAAACACAAAATTTTAACCCACATACTCATAATTATATGCTTTAACGACAGAAAAGTTTGCTGGCAGACTTGAATTTTACACAAAATTTACAAGAGCGTAACTGAACGATGTTGTGAAAATCTTCGGCCGCAATCAAAGGTGATTTTCAAAGCAAACTAAACGATATCTCAGAGACCAACCATACATGCAGTGTTCACTTGCTTCAGTTCAAAATTATTGTAGAAGTACAATAATTTTCCTGAAATATCTATTTTATTGGGACGAATAATGATGTATTGTAAATAAATGTCCATACATATACATAAATATCAATATGATATAGTGTATTTGAAGTTTAAGGGATGTTTTGTTAAGTTCAAATCAAAATAATCATGCAAGCTCGGCAGAATTATTCCGACAGGCGTCCCTATAACTGGCGAGTGTCAAGCCTACAAAAGTCAGACATTCGCTAATTTTCGCGGATAATGTCGATGTTATATACTCTTGCCTGCCTATATTTTGTAGTCTTCACGTTGGTCCTCTCACTCCCACCAGTAGTTACCTACCAGTCATATTTATTTCTAATTAGAATAGCAGTGTCGGCGATGAAGAAATAGGCCCATGGCCTGTTGCTGATTCTTGAACTTTTCGTGACTTTTTTCATGTGCCAGCGACAGGCAGATGAAGTTCCTTTAATATTCGTGAAATACGTTAAGATGCATAACTACCTTCTCGTTAAGATACATAATTACGTCCAGCAATAGTTTAATTAGGCAGGTATTCTTAGGTCAACAAAATACGTGAAATTATCGATAAAATTTTGCTCTGGTGAACGGGGATTGACGGTTGTTGAAAATTTTATTAAAATTTGGAATACTTACATATACAAAATTTCCCCAATTCAGTTGGCGTTTTCTGGTCGACTTTCGTATTTCAACACAGTGACGAATGCCAGGACTATGACCATATAATATCAGGAATAAGACCATATAATACCAGGTAAGACCATATAATACCAGGAATAAGACCATATAATACAAGGTATAAGACCATATAATAGAAGGTATAAGACCACATAATACCAGGAAGAAGGCAATACATTCCAAGTGCTACAGAAACACTAGGCTATACACGTTCTTCGAACGCTTTCATTCACGTAGTTTCGAAAGTGAGTGTGATGAGAAAAATGATCGGACAAGCTAGCTAATACTAAAGTAAACCGAGTGATCACCAAACACAACTTGATTTGCTCACTTCAAAGGACAAACTAGTTGAGTTTTGGAGCAGTTGTGCTATACACTGAACACCTGTAAATAAAATTTAGTCGATATTCTGCACAGCGCACTATCGCACCAGACCGACCGTTCTCGTGGTCAAAGAGGAGCTTCTATCGTGACCATTTGACTTCAAACTATTAACCATTATACCGCATACTATTAATCATTATACCGCATACTGTTATTCATTATACCATATACTAGTAAACATGTAGTCACATGCTAGTATCCATTATACAACATACTAGTAACCTTTATACCGCATACTATTAACCATTATTACAACATACTAGTAACCATTATACCGCATACTAGTAACCATTATACAACATACTAGTAACCATTATACCGCATACTAGTAACCATTATACAACATACTAGTAACCATTATACCGCGTACTATTAACCATTATACAACATACTAGTAACCATTATACCGCATACTTATAACCATGTAGTCACATACTAGTAACCATTATACCGCATACTAGTAACCATTATACAACATAATAGTAACCATGTAGTCGCATACTAGTAACCATTATACCGCATACTAGTAACCATTATACCGCATGCTAGTAACAATGTGGCCATGTAAGAGTACGTTTGGTGAGCAGCATGAGAGGTGAGCTCTAATGTATTTTGCTAGATAATTATATGAACGTAAACATTCATTCAACTATGGTCATGAGAGCTCGGTAATTTTATTAAATCTCTCCCGTTAACAGCTGTGCTGCATTGAGCCCATTGATTATTTTCGCAACAGGTAATTTATTTATTTTATTTTATTTATTTATTCTCTTACAACAGGTAATTTATCATGCTTAATTCGCACATCTTACAGTTTGCTGTTATAGTTCCCACTATTGGCAGGACTACTACGTATCATTGAACGCGTATTACATTGTTAAATAATAGTATCGTAATATTATTATATATGTATTTTAGTTATATATGTATATTGTACATATATACGTTGTGTATATGAATTATAAAAATGATATTTGTATTATTAGTATAAATATATCATATTTAATATTGAATAATAATATTATATATAATATAATAAATATATTATATTTAATATTAGTTTAACCACGCCTGCTTATATTCGACATGTTCGGTTCAACAGCTAACATCGTGGTATAGGTAGTGTTCCATGTAGTCCGAACACTTGTTACCTCAGCTTTAGCTTTCTACCACTTGTTTATCAGGTAATTTGCTTATTCAAATCGATGTTCTAAGCTTAATTCATTTAGTCACTACTGATTAATTTTTTTTAATACAGAACAACTTTCAAGTTATCAGTCTCCTAACTTCTCCTCATTCTAATAGTCTCAGAGGCGACTTTTTGACTAAACTTGACTCGTGTATCAGATGACTTTTAAATGGAGAATAGATCAAACATCCTAATTTGTGCCCAAGTCGGCAATGTCAATTTACATTGAACGGTTTGACCGCATTTTCAGGTTTGTAGCAAACTGACGAGTAGTAGTGGTAGGTTTCTAGCGCGTCAGAAAATCTTGATCTATTAAGCTGACCACTACCGTGCATAAAAAATATGCAGAATCGCGTTATTTACGTCATCAAAGTAATTCGGACTTGTATGCCTGGTCCTGGAGAGATACCCACTGTCATTAAACTAAAGGTTAATCATTCGTCTACGAATGCATAAACACTCATCAATGACATTCGTACCAAAGCCCAGCTACCAAGAATTATCTTCAGTGGACTGGAAGTTTTGAGCATGGCGACCGCTTCTGTTTCGTCCTTGAATCGCTTATTAATTTTTCACGGATTTTCTTCCGCTTCCAGTTGGCTTTTTAAAGGCTTAAAAAAAACATTTTTCGTCCCTAAAGTACGGTCTTCAGTGAAAACAACCTAATCTCTAGCATTGCCGCCTGATCCGTTTCATTCTCACTAATTTATTCTTATATTAGCACTGGAAACTAGTCCATAAAGCCCGTTGCCTAAACTGGGTTTAATTGGTACCCAACTGTTTAACAGCTCTGAAAGTGAAAATCTGTAAAACGTGGTAAAGGGAACAGTGAAAATTTCGCCTGATCCGTCTAAGCTCAGGACGATTTGTGGTGTGAATACCATGAAGGATTTGTGGCGTGGATACAAAGTAGGATTTGTGGTGTGGATACCAAGGATTTGTGGCGTGAATACTATGAAGGATTTGTGGCGTGGATAACAAGTAGGATTTGTGGTGTGGATACCAAGGATTTGTGGCGTGAATACTATGAAGGCTGTCTCTTATACACATCTAGATGTGTATAAGAGACANGATTTGTGGTGTGGATACCATGAGGGATTTGTGGTGTGGATACCATGAGGGATTTGTGGCGTGGATACCATGACGGATTTGTGGCGTGGATACCGTGAAAGATTTGTGGTGTGGATACCATGAGGGATTTGTGGTGTGGATACCATGAGGGATTTGTGGAGTGGATACCAAGAGGGATTTGTGGCGTGGATACCATGAAGGATTTGTGGTTTGGATACCATGAAGGATTTGTGGTGTGGATACCATGACTCTTGCCATGGGCGTTCAATGCTGTCAACTGCCACGCAGCACTCAATTATATCCATAAAAATAGTACACATAACTAACTTGCAGTACAATAGTTTCGTAGTTTATTATATCTTATATCTTATCTTATTATAGTTTCGTAGTTTTTTAATTCCATGCATTACCCAGAATGCATGATCATTTTTCTTGTGGTAACAGTCGCTTTTTACTTTTATGCGCAATTCTGGCGCGGACGGTCGTTTCCTATTTACCCTGGAAGGATGATCGAACTTCATGATATAACTTGTATTTCAAAAACATAAGGTAAATAAAGAAGGCAAAATTCACATGACTCTATACTACGTCAACTAAAGAGATACACAAGGTACATAAGAAAATAGCTCCGGTTCGGTCACACCGATACGGGCAACAGTGAGGAGAATGTCTTCCTAGTTTCAATGCTGGAAATGAACCAAAAATGTGCACAATGGCTAAAACAAGGAGGCTAAAATTCTGGTATCCGTTTATCAATGACAGGGTAAAATAAATGTTTCACTATGTGGTGACAGACGGAGACCAAGCGAGAGCAGCATCGGTCCTTCACCATCAGCGCCTGAGGACAGTAAATATTAGAAGTTTTTATGGAGTGTTAAATACTTTTATATCTTAAATAATTATAAAGTTGACCGAGTGAGATGATAGAGGAAACACAGACAAATCACGGTGATAATAACATAGAAATAAAATAAAGTTTGAGTGAAATCAACGTAGTGATTCTAGCCAAAAGTGATGCTTATTGACAGCTCAATTATAATTAACATCAAAAAGTAAGCTAGGCGACTCAGAGCTGATGAAACTAACATACGCAGACCACTCGATATGAGAAAATGGTCAAATAGAATCCAAGATGTTGTTCAAAAACCTATAGTAAATACTTAGGCTTCTTACGTGCACTCTTAATCATAAGTGGCCATAATTTATAGCGCTTCGACAACGCGCTATCTTTTATTTATAAATAAAATCTAAAGCTAAATAAATTACGGATTAGGCTAGATAATACCAGGCAAATTAATTACATAAAAAATAAGGTATGATAAGGCCACGCTTCTCAATTATGAGATAAATTAAAAATAAATAGGTGAATAACTACTAAAAAAACAAATTACCAAGGTCTTACCTGCTTTTCTTCTTATCTTTGCCGTGGTCGCGGCTGTCATCTCTGCTTCGTTTCTTGTCCTTGTGAGGGGACTTGTGAGGGGATTTATGAGAGGACTTATGAGGGGACCTGTGAGACGACTTGTGCGATGACGACGAGGACTTGTGAGACTTGTGCGAGGATTTATGAGACTTCTCAGGGGACCTGTGAGACGACTTCTTGGTCAGACTGTTGGGGAGAAATAAGTAGAATTAGAACATGAAGAGAATTAAAACCAAATCATTAAAAAACATGGTAAGTTTTATTAATCATCGTAAATACGTAGGTGCATTGCAAAAAAAAATCATGTGAATATGCCTTTTTTTTAGTAGTAAAGTCCACAAAGTAGTAGTAAAGTAGTAGTAAAGTCCACACGCGACAAAGTTCTTTCATCAAAAGTAGATTTTGTCATTATATGCAGAATTTAAATTAACATATTTTTTACACTAAATATGTTATCACAACAACCACAATAGAAAACGTGCAGAAATGAACAGAAGTCAGCAGTCGCATCGGATTAATGAGGCAAACTGGAGTGGAGAGTTTATAGGAAAATAATTCATATTCACGACGTTCGAATTCACGGGAAAATTGTTAGGAAGTGCGAATGGAACAGCAGAGCGTGGGATGAACACCTTCCCGTGCTGGCGAGTGTAAAATGTCAAATGCCTATTTAGGTACGTAGAATTTCCTCTTTCCAAAGTATCGCTTGCATCGTTTCAGCTCAAGTATCACTAGGGTGTTCTTGAAAGAAAATAAACAAGGACCCTGAAGAATTAGAGGCATTCAATGCTCATGCCCAAGTGTCATGGTCAGAGGAGTGCGACGTTTTTTCGATATGTATCACAAATCTTCACAGAAGAGTTTTGTATATAATTTTGTATAATTATAATTATGTAAATTCTTATCCTATAGTCAAACAAATCGACACTTTCAAACTACACCAAAAAAATGCATCCGCTTTCTACAGGAACAACAGAGCCCTAATGGGCCGAGCCAAACGGATAGCACTGAGCATGATAGTTTGGGCCCATGCTTTAATAAAGTGAATAGTGAATAATATTCTGCTTTAATAAAGTTAATAGTGAATAAAAAGTGTGGTGAGTAAGCCAGACAACAAGCCTTCATAGGCACAGCCAGCTGTGCCGCACTCAAGCCAGCAGATGCAGGCACAGCCAGCAGGTGCAGGCACAGCCAGCAGGTGCAGGCACAGCCAGCAGGTGCATGCACAGCCAGCAGGTGCAGGCACAGCCAGCAGGTACAGGCACAGCCAGCAGGTGCAGTAAGCATCAAGTTATCTCACGTCTTCTTCTTATGGCGGTCGTCTTCGTAGTCGTCGTAGTTGTTCTTGTTCCTGTCCTCCTCCGCCGCCTCGCGCTCCAGGTCACTCCAGTCCTTGCCTGACTCCTCCGATGATCCCTCGGCCTCTCCTGCAGGCCAGACAGGGTGTTAACTTGCTGGTGGTATAACTATTACTAGTACATTTAGTTCATCATGCACACGCCAGTGAACTACGCGTAGTAATACATCGGCTATAACAGTGCGCGTAGTAATACACAGGGTAGAAAACGGAGAGCAGTGATATACTTGCCAGGACACGGCGTGGTAATAATAACAAAATAATAATCTAAATATATAATAATATTATTAATACACATGCTAGCTAGCTCGCGTGTGTATATAGTAACTTCTGCTGAAGCACATTTCCTCCACCACCTAACTGGTCACCACTTCACCACCATCGTCATCACACCACCTGTCCTGACAACTCACCCTTATCGTAATTACACCGCTCGTCCAAACTCACCACTATCATCACCATCGTCATCACTGTAGACCTCATCACCACCACCAACTCACCACTATCATCACCATCGTCATCACTGTAGTCCTCAGAGGCCTCGTCACTGTAGTCCTCCGAGTCAGAAGCGTCGCTGGCGGCCTCGTCGGACACGTCGGTCGGGTTGTAAGCCTCGTCCTCCTCCGAGTCCTCATCTGCCTCGTCCTCCTCGTCGCTGTCGGGGTCCAGGAACGACCACCCGCCCTGGGGGAGGGGAGCAATAATTAGGGAGAAAATCAAAGTAACTCCTGCTATATTTCAGATCTCAAATCTAATACTCAAGACTATTACCCCAGAGCTAATCCGGCGGCTCCTGCACACTGTCCTTCAGCACCTCCAGCCTGTCACTCCAACACATGCTTCAAGCCTGCCATTCCCCCAGTGCCACAATAAAAGCTACTCCTGAAATAAACCCGCCCCTGTCACTCCTCAATATCACTCCCCCACATCCTTCAAGCCTGCCATTCCCCCAGTACCACAATACAAGCTACTCCTGTAATAAACCCTCACCCGTCATTCCTCAAGCACCACAAGCCACTCCCCCACCTGCTCGAAGAAGCCGTCTGGGTCATCAACGATGGCCTTCATGACCTTAGGCCAGTTGAGCGACTGGATGCCTTCGCTGTAGCGGATGTCGCACGAACTGCACAACAACAAACTGTTAATGTAGTAAATGCATACAATGTGGAGCCCTTAGCATGCGGCACAGCAAATGTGGCGACATAAGGAAGGTACGTAGCGGTAGGCTGCACTACGTGGTATTTTTTTGAAGTATATAGCATCTTAAAGTATGCATAATGCTGCACAACGTGGTACCTATGTTTCTTCACATTTTATAGCATCTTATAGTATGCTGCACTACGTGATATAAGTTTCATCACAGTATATGGTATCTTATAGTATGCTGCAAAAAAAAAAGTGACAGACTTGAGCCACTCCTTGACGTGGTCACGTCATCACTGTAGTCCTCGTCACCACCACCAACTCACCACTATCATCACCATCTGTCCCTCCAACTCACCACTATCATCACCATCGTCATCACTATATTCCTCGTCACCACCACCAACTCACCACTATCATCACCATCGTCGTCACTGTAGTCCTCAGAAGCCTCATCACTGTAGTCCTCCGAGTCAGAAGCGTCGCTGGCGGCCTCGTCGGACACGTCGGTTGGGTTGTAAGCCTCATCCTCCTCAGAGTCCTCATCAGCTTCGTCCTCCTCGTCGCTGTCGGGGTCCAGGAACGACCACCCGCCCTGGGGGAGGGGAACAATAATGACGGAGAAAATCAAAGTAACTCCAGATTTATTTCAGGGCTCAAATCTAATACTCATAATATTCTCTCATGGCTAATACACCTGCCCCTGCATACTGTCCTTCAGCATCTCCAGCCTGTCACTCCCCCACACATCCTTCAAGCCTACACTTCCCCCAGTGCCACAATACACAAGTGGCTTGCCACAATACAAGCCACTCCTGAAATAAACCCTCCCCCGTCACACCTCAAGCACCACAAGCCACTCCCCCACCTGCTCGAAGAAGCCGTCAGGGTCGTCCACGATGGCCTTCATGACCTTAGGCCAGTTGAGCGACTGGATGCCTTCGCTGTAGCGGATGTCGCACGAACTGCACAACAAGAAACCGTTTATGTAGCAAATGCAAACAATGTGGAGCCCTTAGCATGTGGCACGGCATGGTATGTGGCGACATAAGGAAGGTAGGTAGCAGTACGCTGCACTACGTGGCCTGTTTCTTCACATTTTATAGCATCCTATAGTATGCCGCACTATGTGGTATGTTTCGTGACATAGTATATGGTATCTTATAGTATGCTGCACTACGCGGTGTGTTTCATCAAAGTATATGGCACCATTTAGTATGCTGCACTACGTGGTATGCTTCATCACAGTATATGGCATCTTATATTATGCTGCACTACGTGGTATGTTTCATCACATAGTATATGACATCTTATAGTATGATGCAAATAAGTGACAGACTTGAGCCACTCCTTGACGTGGTCGAGCATGTTCATGGGCACGGCGTTGATCATGGCCGTCTTCCTGGTGTAGTCCTTGAAGACAAAGACCATGTCGAAGTTCTTGAGGTGGAACTGCACGCGCTCGAAGTGCACCAACTCCACCTCCTCCAGCACGATCACGAACGGCGGCCACTCGGTCAGGTTCACCAGGCAACCTGCGTGCATTATGGAGGATAGAGCACGTATTATTGTATATGCAAGTGTGGATTGTGGTGGATAGAGCGCGTCTTGTTGTATGGTGCAAGTGTGGATTGTGGTGGATAGAGTGCGTCTTGTTGTATGGTGCAAGTGTGGATTGTTGTACATTACAATTTTTACAGTTACAAAATTTGCAATTACATGTAGGGACCAGTGCAAATAATAGGGAAATAGTTACGGCATAAGCATAATCCAAGCATTTGGATTATGCAGACAGACGCGCCCAAAACTTAGCCTGTCTGAATAGGACAATCATGACTTTATTTGGAATCCTCACAAAAGCTTAATTAATACAACTGTGCATATAATTGAGACAAAATTCGAATCATGACGTAAGATACTAGTAAGAGACTAAGTTTCTTTACAAAATGAATCCGTAACTGGCACTCATTAAGATGAATTCCACGATTAAAACAATGGAGAATTAATAAATAAATTAATAAATAAGCAGCTGAAGACTATACCAGAGGTGGGCTGGAGGGAGACTGTGGAGCGGAAGGGCGCGCCAGGGAAGCCCAGCTCTCTGAAGGGCGTGTCGAACTCCACCTGACTCTTGGACAGCGTCTCTACCTGCAGTGCATACATAATTAGAATTCGTGATAATAGACATTAGCATCTATTTTAGTATCATTATGACATTAGGCATTAGCAATCATTAGCTGCAGCATTAGATATCAATTGCAATGAAAATATTAGTACTATTACTNTCTCTGAAGGGCGTGTCAAACTCCACCTGACTCTTAGACAGCGTCTCTACCTGCATTCATAATTAGAATTCGTGATAATAGACATTAGCATCTATTTTAGTATCATTATGACATTAGGCATTAGCAATCATTAGCTGCAGCATTAGATATCAATTGCAATGAAAATATTAGTATCATTACTACATTAAATTCTAGCATCGCTTGCACTCTATTTTTCAGTTCGTGACATCACTGAACAGTTCACAATGCATTCAGCAATGAATGGAGCACAAATAATTAAATACATTATCATCCATGAATGATTATTATAATGCTGGTATGATAATTTTTACTATTTCATATGAGTATTTTTGAGACTATAAAAGTAAAGTCTAACAAGTAGAGTAGAACTTGAGGCCGAGGGTAGTGCGAGAAAACGACACAACTATCGGGTAAATTTATTCCTGAATTTCAAGGTCTGTCAGTCTTCAAATGAAGTCTCAGTAATAATAACAAAAACTATCAATAATTAACAAAATAAAACAACAGTTGGTGATGAAATACATGCCTTCTCAGTGAAGCTCTTGAAGGCAGAGGTGAGGCGGTGACGAAGTTCTCGCTCCGCCTGCTCAGCGCTGAGGTCGTCCCTGTCGTGCATGTGCTGGTGCTTGCCCAAGTCCGTCGTGATCTCCCCCACCTCCGTGTAGAACTGCACGTCAAGGTGCTTCTTCTTGCCGAACATTATGGCGTGCTGCGGAGAAACGTAAGTAAATTAGTGCAGAGTTCTGATGCTTCTTGCCGAACATTATTAGGTGCTGTGGAGAAACCTTAGTAAATTAGTGCAGAGCAATGCTTTTTCTTGCCGAAAATTATGATGTGCTGTGGAGAAACCTTGGTAAGTGAGTGCAGAGCTATGCTACTTTTTGCCTAACATTATGGTGTGCTGTTCAGGAGTGATAATACAACGTGACATTGTTGCAAATTCTTTTTGAACTATGTTACATTTTGAAATTTTTGTCTGTTTTAAGCAAACTAGGTACTTCGTCAAGAATAAATAGTGTAAAATATTAACTTTGAGGTTAAATACTAAAATCACAAAAAGAATGGGTGAGTGTTTGAATTAAGGAAAAGTGTGTGTGGGTGAGGGGAAGTGTTCCGCCAAGATGGAAGGTTCACCTTGAGGTGGAAGTGCAGCAGGATGATCATCTCGCCGTCGCAGGGCTGGAAGAAGGCGTTCTTGATGTTGTTGTAGAGAATGTCGACCTTGTCCCCTCGCACGCTCGTGTACCTGGCACATCAACACAACTGGGGCATAACACGCGCAATTAAATATTGGCGGTGATAGCATCCAACAGGAATTTTGTTTGGAAATGTCCAGAAATGTGAGTTAAAAATGTGACATAAAAGAATTACAATATAAATAAACTTTAACAAAAAAGTGTATTGTAGAAGTTGACGTCAGCCACCACGACTTTCAGTTCTGACTTCTCACATTAGTCAGCATAAGAACCCACCACCACGTGCCTCATGAGCTTCCATCAGGAAGACAAAAAGCTTACCTGAAGCCGTTGGTGTGGGCCTCCAGTGTACCGTTGATCCTTTTCTGTACGATGTTGGGGCGAATGCAGAGGTCTTTAAGCTTAGGATTACTCTTATTGTTGGATATGACGAGCGTGTCCTGCTTGACCAGGTTCTCCTTCTCCTTTTCTTCGGCCTCGCGCGTCTTGAATTTCTTCTGGACTTCTTTGATCAACCTGAAGGCCTCGTTGAGGTTTGATGAAGGAGCCGTCAGCTCACCAGGCTCTTTCTTGTTGCTGTTGCGGTATGTACTGCACAACAAGAGGTTAGGTATATCAATAATTTAGGCTCAAATATTGCAGCTACACAAAAATAAGTCGTATCAATAACGTTTGAATATTCCAGCTGCACAACAAAAAATTACATTAATATTTTATATCAGAATATTACAGCAAAATCGGATTAAGAACAAGTTCTAAGATAATTTTTCTCACTGCCACTGTAAGCGCATCAGAAAGCACCATTTCATGCCATATATAATAGAGGCAACATGATGATTCAGAACACAATTCAAGTAACACTTCCAATTATTGTATAGATCTTCATTGTGAATTATCCAGAGAAGATACTTACAGACACACCAATGAGACAATCAAATGCTAAGACGTGCTTCACAACATTGATAAAAATAATATTTATATTCCCAAGCAGGAAAAAAAACTTTGTTTCCTATAGTTATCGTAAAAAATAACAACAATTTAAAAACTGCTCATCAACTAGTAACAAATTTATTCTGCAATTTTAGAAATTAAGGACGCTGACCACATTATGATTCAATATTTACATTAAATTAAAATACTAACAACATGCAATTTTGGACAGTCATAAATGAGCTTTGCAGTGTGAATGACATGCTATTTGAGAGTCAAAAGTGAGCATTGAAGTATGATTGGCATGCTATTCAGGAGTCAAGTGAGAATAGATGCTATTCAGGAGTCAAGTGAGATAGAAATATGAATGACATGCTATTAGATGGCCATAAGTGGGAATAGAAGTCTGAATTATACTAACATTTCCTTGACAAAGATGGCGTCGGGGTTGGGGAAGGAGACCTCGCCCCTGCCGATGCTGGCGCCGGGGTGGAAGAAGTTGATCCTGAGGTAAGTGTAGTCGCCCTCGAGCGTCTGTCCGATGTTCTTGATCATGGAGATGTGGAAGGGGACCGGCAGCCCGTAGATGGGCAGAATAACCGTCTCGTACTTCCGATCTGCAGCATATCACAGATATTCACTTCGTGTGAATAATAACTGAGATGGTATTAGTGTTGAAAAATTCTACTTGATATTGCTATATAGAATTTGCTTGATATGAATTAGAATTTACTTAATATTCTATGATATGCTACATAGCGTTCTAGCTAAATAACTAAATATATCATGTTTTACTAAAACACTTGCACCAGATAGTAGTAGTAGGGTGAAGATTTCTAGCGCTTCCGATAAACTTTGTATATTTAGCGCCGAAACACCTGCACCACACACTGACCGACATAGAGCTTGAGGGAGGTGACGGCAGGCTCCCGCGGGATGTAGGAGGCAGACTTGTAGCTCACGTTGCTCTTGCGGATTTTGGTGTCGCCGCTCTGGCCCTTGAGGGACGCTAGGCGCTCCTTGGCAGCCTCGTTCATGGCGAGCGCCAACTCCTTCTGGTGCAGCTTGCGCTTCTCCTCTGACGATTGTTCTTGCTGCCCGTGATATAATATTATAGGTGCAATGAGACTTACACGAATCCCTGTCTTATTGCACAACAGATAAGAGACTTATTTTGCTGCACAAAAAATAAGATGCTTATACATGTGCATGGTATAAGGTATAAGGTAACAATATAAGTCACATGGAAAAAATTCATAATAAAAATTTAAATCTATGTGCGGTCGGCAAATATAAAGTATAGTAGAAAATATCAGTGGTAGATTGAGAGTGTTGTGTTAGGTTTACAAACTTTTTCATTTAGATACCTATTATCTTATATTCTTATTAAAAGCAATTAAAATCGTTATAAGATAAATGTTACAAGTTTCTAACTCTGATACAAAATCAATGATTTATTAGCGTGTTACCCTGAGCTTGGAATCAAGTATAGCGTTGCGCCGGCCCCCTCTGCCCCCCTCAATGATCTCGGGAGTGTCCTTGACTTCATCTTCATCATCATCGCCATCCTCGTCCTCCTTCAGGAACACCGCAACATTCTTCAGCTTCTTCTTGCTGCCCCCCGTCAGCAGTGTCCCCGGCCCGTCCTGTACGGATTAAGAGTGAATATCTTATGTTATATAATGTCTATATACAGTGCAGTAATCAGAATAACGGATTAGAGTGAATATTTACGTTATGTAATGTCTATATGCAGTCCGGCACTCAGAATAACGGATTAAGAGTGAATATCTTACGTTATATAACGTCTTTATGCAGTGCAGTAATCAAAATAGTAATTAAACTTGTATGGGCCATGAGATTGACTTGCACCCTATAGTTGATGACTAAGGACATGTAATTCAGCGCTATAGCTTGATTATGACCGGTGTGTCTAATACCTCATTAAAGACAAGTGTGTCACACTAATATCTCATTAGCGAGGACTGTGGCCCACTAACATCTCATTAACGAGGACTGTGTCGCACTGATACCTCATTAAAGAGGACTATGTCACACTAATTACTAATACCTTATTAAAGAGAACTGTGTCAAACTAATACCTCATTAAAGAGAACGGTGTCAAACTAATACCTCATTAAAGAGAACTTTGTCACACTAATACCTCATTAAAGAAAACTGAGTCACACTAATATCTCATTAACGAGGACTGTGTCACACTAATACCTCATTAAAAAGAACTGTGTCACACTAATAGGTACCTCATTAAAGAGAACTGTGTCACACTAATACCTCATTAAAGAGAACTGTGTCACACTAATACCTTATTAAAGAGAACTGTGTCACACTCATACCTCATTAAAGAGAACTGTGTCACACTAATACCTCATTAAAGAGAACTGTGTCACACTAATACCTCATTAAAGAGAACTGTGTCACACTCATACCTCATTAAAGAGAACTGTGTCACACTCATACCTCATTAAAGAGAATTGTGTCACACTAATACCTCATTAAAGAGAACTGTGTCACACTCATACCTCATTAAAGAGAACTGTGTCACACTAATACCTCATTAACGAGGACTGCGTCACACTAATACCTCATTAACAAGGACTGTGTCGCCAATGAAGAGCGCGTATTTGCTGTCAGTGCTGTTCTTAGCGTCAGCGTTGGTGAGGTCAGCGATGCCGAGGCTGACGTTGTAGATTTGGCCGGCCAATAGGCGGCCACTGCTCTTGGGGCCAAGAACCAGCGCTGACTCGCGGAACTCAATGCCCGTGCAGAACCTGCAATGGCCAAGGATCGTGACTACAGAACCTGCAATGGCCAAGGATCGTGACTACAGAACCTGCAATGGTCAAGGATCGTGACTACAGAACCTGCAATGGCCAAGGATCGTGACTACAGAACCTGCAATGGTCAAGGATCGTGACTACATAACCTGCAATGGCCAAGGATCGTGACTACAGAACCTGCAATGGTCAAGGATCGTGACTACAGAACCTGCAATGGCCAAGGATCGTGACTACAGAACCTGCAATGGCAAGGGGTCGTCACAACCATCACCACTGTTGGTATCATGACACACTTGCTTTAGCTGGAGCCACATTATTATTGATTTTGTCTTATTGTAGCATCACAATTACCTCGCTTCCTTCTGCCGTCCCAATATTTAATATCCTAAAATAACAGCAACACTACAGACCTGTAACATTTTGCAACAACATCACCAACATTACTAGTGCTTATCACCACTATTTCTACAGTCGTCACTATTGCTATACATACCGCATTAGATATTGAAATTTCACGACACTAACATTATTCCGATTGCTATAACAGAACAGTTCATCAAGCATCGTGCCATTTCTAAGTTTCTTCTATTCCTTCATCAAGCTGCACGAGAGGATATGAGCTCAGCAAGTAGGCATTGCAGGCAAAAAATTCTGCAACATCATTGCAAAAATAATTAATTTAGATACAAATGACATTAGATAAACATTGTAACCGTAAACTGAGGCTTCATTAAAGGCCATACCCGAAGCTCTTAGTGAGTTTATCGACGAGATCCTTCCTGTGCTCCGTGACGTAGGCAACCACCTCCTCGTATACGGAGCTCAGACGACGCCCGGCCTGAGGAAAATACAGAAGTTCATTGCTAAAGTCCTACTAACAGAAAAAGAAACAAGATCATAATAACACTGACGGCTTTACAAGCAAACCCACCTACCACAGACTAGAAGTCAGCCAGTATGTCTGCTTAAGCATGTATTCGCGGTGCAAAGGCCTATGCTGTGATCCTATAAAGATCTAAACTCTTTCACCAAAGTGGCAGGAATTTTACTCTAACCAAGTAGGAAGTCTTTATGACTAAAAAATTGTTAGCAGTGATCATGTAGAGGTTTAAAACTTCAACAGAACGTATTAGGGTCAACAGTGATAACATCTTTCTGTAAATATATCAAAAAAGTTTATAGCATTCAATTATTGAATTGTAGAGCTACAACTATTAATCAACTCTTCACGCATGCTGCAATGCTCAAACAGTGATGCAATTCTTTGAAAATATAATAAATATTGTTGTATGAACACCGACACAGGAGTGATTCTTCACTTGTAAAGAATTAGCTTTGCAGTGATGAAGTACTTGTATTGCTACGTTTAAAAGCATTAGTTTCACACTGATACAGTGTAAAGCTTACAAAGTTCTCCACCAACACAAAGTTTTCCACTAATGCCACAAAGTTTGACACTACACAACAGCTTCCCACCTTAAGTTTCTCGATGAGTTTCTCATAAGCAGTGAGCAGAAACTCGTAGTTTTTCTGCATCTTGTCTGAAGGGTTGACAAGGAACGTACGGCAGATGTTGCTGCAGTAGTTCTTGTAGCGCACGCCCAGGCACACCACGATCGCCCCAAACTCCAGCACGCTTTTGTCGCTGTAAACAATTAAATCTTGCAGTAACTCTAACAAGCTTCAAGCAACTTTAATAATTATCATCCCCCCCAGAGAAAAGAACACACTCTCACTGGCAGTTGTGGGCAATTATAATAATTTCTACCCGTCTAAAATACTTTCAAAATTACTGCCATTCAGGGTTGGCAATGATTAAATCAAAATGATTAAATCATGTGATGAAATCACTTGATTTTTTAATAAAAAAATCATGATTTTATTTTTTCATATATTTAATTTAAATACATTGAGTGGCAGTCTAATATATTGATTATTGTTATTCATATTATTAGTAATTTATATTGAGGTATTGTTATTCATGGTTTAGCATAAATGTACTATGAATGACAAATTGGTATATAAACTTGTTGCCTTTAGTGTGTATTAGGTTCCAATAAATTGTATGTTTTTGGTACAGAGGCATCAAGTGTTGCAATACATTGTACATAGCTAGCAGCTTAGCTAATTTAACATAACATAATATAGCTAATTATTATAAGGCTAAAAGTAGTCTTTAACTATTCGACTATTTGTTATATATTGATTACAATATGCAATTTAAATGTGTTAGCTAGCTTATACAGGGTGGGGCAGAACCGATTGAGCAGTTTTGAGGCAAAATAAAAGAGTAATGGAGGTACATTAAGAAGAAAGTTTATTTTCCTAGAGGTTAGCATAACATACCATTTAAAATACTTATGTTTTGAAAAAAATATCAGCAAGATAAGGTTTGTTAGCTGCATCACACTGTTAGGAGTCGTTCTCGGAAGTTTTCTACAGCACGTTCACATGTATGGCGAGGCATGGCCATAACCTCTGCTGCAAAAATCCATCCCCTTAGCTGTGGTAGGGTGTGAGGGCGACTTCTGAACCCCTTTCTTTTAGATGTCCCCTGTATCAGTCTTCGAGTCAGAGAAACACGATCAGGGACACGCACATGTATTTCAGTAGGAGGTTGACACAAGAAGAGGCCGATTGACGCGCCGCGACCTCCTAAGACAACTACGTGTCGCGGTCACGTCAACGCGTAGCAAAGCGTTAGGCTTAAACCTCGGTACATCCCCAAAGAAAAAAATTGAAAATGCTCAAATCAGGTGACCTCGCAGGCCACTGTAAATCACCCCTCAGAGTCCGGGAACATGCGTATCAAAACAGTGAGTGACATTCGGGCTGTGTGAGCTGTAGCCCCATCTTGCTGGAACCATACCTCTCCCAATGCTTTGTTTTCAACAATGTTTTCCATCCTGGGCTGCAAGAAATTTTGTAACATTGCAGCATAGCGCTTGGAATTCACTGTTATGGTTACTCCCTCCTCTGAGAACGACTCCAACAGTGTATTGCAGCTAACAGCCCCCATCTTCCAGATATTGTTTTCAAAACGTAAGTATTCTAAATGGTATGTTATGCTAACCTCTAGGAAAATAAATTTTCTTCTTTATGTACCTCCATTACTTTTTTATTTTACCTCAAAACTGCTCAATCGTTTCTGTCCCACCTTGTATATTGAGAGGTTGAGATTGGCAATTAGATTTGCCACCCTAATACGAGTATTCTAATTAAAATATTCAATTTCAATCTTTAAATATGTGAATTTAAAACGAGAAACAAAACAATTACAATTATAAGACTATATATAAAATAATTAAATGCAGTGAATGGATATAAAATATTTGAATTGTGCACATGTTTATTTCAAACAGTGTTAGCTTTTCTCATAACTATATATAAAATAATTAAATGCAGTGAATGGATATAAAATATTTGAATTGTGCACATGTTTATTTCAAACAGTGTTAGCTTCTCTCATAACTTAAGTCTCGTTTCAAATCATTTGAGGTTTGTTTGGTTATCGTTCAGTTTATGTTTGGTATTGGTTTATTGGTCTGAATTAAATGGGAACAGTGCAGTCAGTCACTAAGTCGCTACTAGTCGGTGTGTATAGAGGGTAGAGTATGGTAGATTTATAGGACATAAAACTAGTAGATCTATTGATAGTGCTGTGCACTGTGCTATCAGCTACCTATCTGTTATGTGACTCTTCAATGTCTAGAAGATCTGCATTCCTGAAGTGTTTTTGTATATTGAAGCCAGTTAAATGGTCAATATTTAGCTCATCACCTTGCTCCATACAAACTTTACAAAGCTAATGAATAGACATGTCAATATTTGTTTGCCCAAAAATCCCAAAGTGGTAAACACCACCTTGGCCTGTTGGCCATTATTGGAGGAAATAAGTGCCCTTTTTAGCCATCCATTATGATCCATATACTGTTATTGTTAGTAGGCTAATTGCAACATAAAAACTAACACTTCAAAAAGACAAAAAAGCTGAAAAAATAAAAAAAAATCAAATAAATAAATAAAAAAATCATGGAAAAAGCAAAAAATCATTGATTTTTTATTTTTTTTTAATAAAAAAAATCACAACCCTGCTGCCATTGAGAGTTTTAGTAATCACATGGCATATCATTGCCCCATGACAGAAATTTCATTCTTTTATTTGATTGTTGTTTTTTCCAGCAATAGTAGAAATGTAGCAAGCATCAGTCATTATTCATAAATGCAGCTTCATTCCTTATCAATACAGTATGCAGTATCATTCATAATTAATCTATGCAGTAACATTCATTATTCGTAGATGTAGCATCATTCATTATTCATAAATGCAGCTTCATTCCTTATTAATCTATGCAGCATCATTCATAATTAATAAGTGAAACATCATTCATAAATACAGTATCATTCATTATCAATATATGCAGCATCATTTGCTATAAATATAAGTAGCATCATACATTATCAATAAATGCAGCATCATTAATACATGTAGCATCATTCATAAATGCAGCATCATTCATCATCAATAAATGCAAAATCATTCATTATCAATAAATACAGCATCATTCATCAACATACACATCATTCATCATCAACATACACAGCATTATTCATCATCAACATACGCAGCATTATTCATCATCAACATACGCAGCATTATTCATCATCAACATATGCAGCATTATTCATCATCAACATATGCAGCATTATTCATCATCAACATATGCAGCATTATTCATCATCAACATATGCAGCATTATTCATCATCAACATATGCAGCATTATTCATCATCAACATATGCAGCATTATTCATCATCAACATATGCAGCATTATTCATCATCAACATATGCAGCATTATTCATCATCAACATATGCAGCATTATTCATCATCAACATATGCAGCATTATTCATCATCAACATATGCAGCATTATTCATCATCAACATATGCAGCATTATTCATCATCAACATATGCAGCATTATTCATCATCAACATATGCAGCATTATTCATCATCAACATATGCAGCATTATTCATCATCAACATATGCAGCATTATTCATCATCAACATATGCAGCATTATTCATCATCAACATATGCAGCATTATTCATCATCAACATATGCAGCATTATTCATCATCAACATATGCAGCATTATTCATCATCAACATATGCAGCATTATTCATCATCAACATATGCAGCATTATTCATCATCAACATATGCAGCATTATTCATCATCAACATATGCAGCATTATTCATCATCAACATATGCAGCATTATTCATCATCAACATATGCAGCATTATTCATCATCAACATATGCAGCATTATTCATCATCAACATATGCAGCATTATTCATCATCAACATATGCAGCATTATTCATCATCAACATATGCAGCATTATTCATCATCAACATATGCAGCATCATTCATCATCAACATATGCAGCATCATTCATCATCAACATATGCAGCATCATTCCTCATCAACATACGCAGCATCATTCATCATCAACATATGCAGCATCATTCCTCATCAACATACGCAGCATTATTCATCATCAACATACGCAGCAGGATGTTACCTGCTGACGCTGAACTTGAGGGCATAGTTGCCGCCGCTCTGGATGATGGGAGGGTAGCAAGGCTCGCACAGCTGAGGGTCTACGCTAACATACTTCTTGTCTGTCATGGCCGCCTCCACGCCCTCTGCTACTTTGCTGTGCTTCACCTTCTTGTCCCTGCACATATTAACTTCATTAGCTTTCAAAGTTGCTATTCAAATTGGATATCAAATAAACAAACTTGGAAGCCATACTCAATTATCCAGCCTTTAATGTTGCTTTTAAAATTATGAATAAGAAGAACAAGTTTTTAAGACACCTTTAATTCACCAGTTTCACCTTCAATATTGCTATTGAAATTGGGCATTAAATATATTAACTTTTATTCAAAATGCTGACCTTAGTTAAGCGCAAACGAGATGACACAATAATAAAACAGATCGTCTGTTGTCATGAGTAAACATTGTGATAAACCTGAAAAGAAATTGCTGCTGTTGGTGGGGCATTCTATTCATCAAATGAATGACCTGTCAATTGTGCGGCATTCAAGTTATTGAATGATAGCACTGTCAATGATGCATCATCATCAGATGATAGCACTGTCAATGATGCACCGTCATCGTCAGATGATAGCACTGTCAATTATGATTCATCATCATCATCAGATATCACTGTCAATGATGCATCATCATCAGATGATATCCCTGCAAATTATGCATCATCATCATAAGATAGACCTGACCTGTCAATGATGCATCATCAGATAGCGCTGTCAATAATGCATCATCGTCATCAGATAGACCTGTTAATGATGCATCATCATCGGATGATAAATGATGCATCATCATCATCAGACAGACCTGTCAATGATGTCCATGAGCTGCTCCTTGAGGTACTTGTTGAAGACGTCCACGGTAGCCAGGGACGACTTCTTCATGGTGTTGACCTCGCCATCCTCCCGCACACTCATCAGCACACCCATCCAGTTGCTCACATCCACCTGCCAACACCAATATAATCAGTATCTTGCCTAGATATTGATTTTTCCCTATCATTATTGTGTGCAAATACAGCACTATAACCTGTAATATTTATGATTTCGAAAGCAGCCTTCATATTACAAATGATCACTATCCCCTTCAAAATTAAATACCGCAATGTGAATGTTAATATCTGTCACTAAAATTAAATACTGCATTAACACGGATAATATCTTAATCATTAACACATTGAAGCCTACACTCGAATTGTTACAATTTCAAATGTACTGCAATACTGAATCATGACCACTGTGGTGTATGGAACCATTTTCTGTTCAACTTCACAAATTATCACAATATCACACCTGTTCAAAGTCCTTCAAGGCTTTCCTCCAGGCGTCCACGAGTTCAGAAGAGAACTTCTCCTTGGCGTACACCCCAACAGTCTTGCCCTTCTTGCTTGCCTTGATGGCGGCCACCAGCGTCTTGATGTTGGCAGCATCCTTGTCTGCTTTGTCACGTACCAAAGTCACCACCGTGGGCGCTTTGTCATCTTTGTTCTTTGTCAAACTGTCAAGGATTTCAATCTGCAAAAACACAATGAGAGAGCACAATAAAATCCAATGATATGACATGGTACTACACATGAAAATGATATCATCATCAGGAAAATAATAGAAATAAAAAGAATTGGCAAGATAACTATTTTAATTACTGAATTTGAAACTGCATTGGACGTAGTTCCAACATTATATGAATGCATAAAAGAATGTAGCTCACTATAGTGATATTGTAGCTTAGTACAAGAATCATAATGTAGGAGTAAACTAAAGATACAAATCAATTGTATACATTGATTTGTCCTCATTTGCATACTATAAAATAAAATTAATGGTGAACAACTAAAACTCATCAAAGTTAAAGATTCTAGGATTTGAAGCTGTCAATATAATCAAGATATTTCACAAACAAAGTGACCTAGAGATATGCTAATAATAGGTATTAAAAAATTAAAACCATAAAAAATGCTTCAAGCACACAATGACTAGATAGATAAGGTACTCCTAAATGGATTAAGCTCATTCAATTTTTCAAAGTACAGTAAATGGGGTTACTTTGACCGGCGGGGTAACTTTGACCACTTTTCATTTTTTTAACAAAAAACCCCAAAACTCAAAAACGATTTGACATAGAAAAATTTTGTTAATGGCCATCAAAGGCCTAATACTGAGGCTACGTAACACAATAGAAAGATTTAATAAGTTTGCATATCTAATAGGTTAAAAATTTGATAATGTGACCCACAAAAAAAGAGCTATTATTTAAAGCCTGTTGGAGTACCCCCTCCAATTTTTTTATTTTTTGGTAAAATAACTCCAGGTTTTGATGCATTGTAGTAGAATTTTATGTATGCAAAAGACAAATTTTAGGAAAGTGTCATAGTTTGCAAATGGGGGGCGCCGACCCCCAATGGGGGAACTTTGACCACCTAATGGCAGCCATGACGGGGTAACATTGACCGGCTTGAAATTAAGTTAAAATTACAACAGGTAGGTACCTATATAACATATTTTATGTTTGATACACCTATTAAGGTTTTTTCTTTATGTTTCAGACTCTACAGAGTCTTATATATGGTAATTTTAACTTAATTTCCAAACCGGTCAATGTTACCCTGTCATGGCTGCCATTAGGTGGTCACATTTCGCCCATTGGGGGGCGGTGCCCCCCATTTGCAAACTATGACACTTTCCTAAAATTAGCCTTTTGCATATGTAACTAGAAGAGTTCTACTACAATGCACCATAACCTGGAGTTATTTGGAATTATTTTACCATAAAATAAAATTGATTTTACCACCTGGTCAAAGAAACCCCAAGAGCTGGGGTAACAAAGACCATCACTTTTTTTGAAGTTACATCAAAACTATGAGAGGCAGGAGCCAGCAATTTATGATGAGTAAAGCTATAGTATAGATCTGTATTTTGCATGTTTCAATTTAAGTTTAACTTATCTAGTGAAAAAATGGCATCATTTTGAAAAAAAAGTGGTCAAAGTTATCCCATTTTACAGTATACCTACACTGAAATTTATAAAAATGTAACTTAAGAAGTTACAAAATATTATTGTTGGAGAATGATCTTTTAAACGTCTCTTTCAAATTCCAAAGGAATCGTAAGCACACAATTTGTTGCAATTCTTCACAAAATTCAAAGTTGTCTAATCTATTTTTTTACCAATACATGTGTACAAAATTCAACAAGCAGACAACTCTGTTGCAACTCTTCACAAAATTTGAGTACCTCTCATCTCTTTCTTATTTTCAACACTACAATCAAAAAATTCTTACTTTCTTCTTGCTGGCCAGGAAGTAGAGCTTGTCCTCGCACAAGACCATGATAGTATCGGTGAGCTCGTACCCGAGCAGCCATGTCTGTGTAGCCGTTGACTTGCTGTAGATCACCTCTTGATCAGCCCCCACACACGAGACCAGAGCATCGCACTTGCTGGCTTCTCCGCCATCCTTCTCACTCTGTCAATGTAAACAATTGTAAGTATGTAAGCAGTTGAAAAAATGGTTCCGTTTCTTCACCATTAATTTATTTTCATTCATTCTTAATCGCTATTTTTATAAATAGAGATAATCTTCCAAGGTGATGGTTAAAGCAACATTGAAAACAAACATAATTTAGTATTTATAACAAAAATTACTAGATAATAAACAATTGCTCAAAGCTATTACAGATGTTTAGATTTTAGAGCTTAAAAGACATAAACATTGATTTTGGCATAGGTATACCATATAATACAGGGTAGTAAGGGACAATTTTAGTATTTTTTGCCAATAACTTCTTACCACAAAACATTTCATAAAAAATTTAGGCTCACTTCCAATGTCTTCTTAGTTCTTTGCAGGGGCTATCATATGGCATCTCCAAAAAAATTCAATAAGCAATTTGTAAGGTGCCAGACGCATTAGAAAAGCATCCCAAATTACCCCTGACACTTGCCATACAAGCAGGTTTTTTAGCGCAAACCCATTTCACCGGCTGGGAGGATGTTGGGAATGTAACGCATTCCTGACATTGACATACAGGTTTGTACTATTTACCAAAATCAGTCTTTCATTAGAAGGCACCAATCTCAAGCCATGTGGATTGTTGCCTTCTATTCTTCAGTTTAGCAATTCATGTTCAACCAAATTGTGATCTATGGATAATGAATTCCTAACTGTGCCGACTTGTAGAACCTGGGTCAACACGTTAGAAATCTAGTCAACTCGATGCAGATATATGTTCGTGTGTGATGGCGTTGCGGCCCGTTGCCGTGCATTCATCTTCAAACAACTTTCGGAGCATGGCGCACAGTGCATTTTTACCAACATATTACGGCACTTGGCACACGGCGCAGATTGATAAAATGACAATATAAATTTCCATGCACATCTTCCTGACCATGGATTAGAGCCGCAATATTTTAGAAAAAAGTAGGACTTTTCCAGCCCTGCTGCTGCCAGCTTGCTTGTATTGGAGCGCACAGCTGTCCTGCTCCTTGAGTGATTAGCGTTGGAGTGCTACGGATGTCCTGGTGGTTCTAAATGACTAAACATTTCCTAGAATTTAACCATTTTCAGAATGGATAGCACAACTCAAACTCTAAGCCAAAGGATGGGCTTTTGGCATAAAGATTCAAGTATTTTTAAGCTTACCATCAAAACATCTTAATTTCAAACAGACTCCATGTTTAGTGACTAACGACTCTAATGCAATGGCTCCAGCCTAGGGTGCAGAAAGTGGGTGAATATTGCAAAATCTTTGCTTATGTATCAGCAGCAAAATTTACACTTTCAGAAGGTCTTGCTAAAACATTTGAATTGAAATTATTCCATTTCAGATATTTGCCAGAGCCAGTCTTTGGTGACATATTTAGAAAATAGTTGAAAATCCGAACAACCGCAAGCACACACAGTAAGGGTTACGGTAGTTACGTTGGATGGATCAGGATGCAGTGAAGCTTATCCGGAAATCAGTTACAATGAGTGTAGTAAGTGTTGCAGGGCATGGAGAGTAAGGGTTTACAATCAAAGTTGTTAGCAGCATTTTCTTATTAAAATTGCTTGGCTTGGCGACGCATCTTGAAAATGGCTGGCAACACTTTAGGCTGAAAATCCCTATCTTGGCAATGCAGCTTGCAAACTCTGCACCCTGAGCTTCAGCTCAATTTTCCAGAATGGTTTAGCCTGAAAAATTTTCAAATTCTGCCTGATATTTAAAATTGACCATTCTGGCAAATGGCAATTTGGGTGAAAGCCACCAATGAATGATTGCCAATTTTGACATGAATTTTTTTTTCAAAATCATGACTTAGGGTAAACGCAGGATATTCCGACATCGTGGGTAATTCCGACACATCTCTAGTTTTTCCTTTATATTAACCCTTTACGCCCTGGCGTGATGAATTCGTCACACAGAAAAAAACTTCGGTTTCCAACAATTTCACGTTTTCTGTCATTTTTTTGAAAAATTCACAGGAATAAAAAAAGTCTTAGATTTAGTTTTTACATATGTGTACCAAGTTTCAAAGTTATCTGTCGGTAAGTAACCGAAATAAGATTTCCAATTTCCAATGGCAATGTCAATTTCTTATGGAAATTCTATTTCGGTTAATTACCGACAGATAACTTTGAAACTTAGTACACATATGTAAAAAATAAATCTAAGACTTTTTTGTTCATGGGAATTTTTCCAAAAAAGTGAAAGAAAACGTGAAATTCTTAGAAAACTGATAAAAAGGGGGTACTGTAGAAATCTATCACCTCCTATGATTTTTGAGCTACAACATCGAGACGCATATCATTCGATGCCTAAGGACCATATCTATCGATTGGTCCTTGCTGTTTTTCAAAATTCTAATTTTTGTGGGTGGGGTGGGCATTTTTCAAAAAAAAATTGGTTTCTCCCCCCCTTTTGAATTTCCCCTCCCCTTTTTTCAAAATATTTTCAAAACTATAACGAAAATGAAAAAAAGCTTCGACCAATCTCTAGATCTTTTATTTGCGAATCGAGCGGTATATTACTCATTGCTGTAGCTTAAAAACTCTGGGAGGAGATAGGTTTGCAGTGACAATAAGTGTGAATGTTCAGTAGGGAAACAGAACTTGAGTAATGCATACGGTTATTTTTTTTTGTAGTTTTTCATTTTTTGATGCGTCCTTAATGTGTCGGAATATACCGCGTTTACCCTATAAATAATGCCTGGGCCCCATGCCTTGTAGCTTGCTCTCAGTTTATCCCATTTTGATGCCCTTGCTGAGTTTTTTCACGAAATTAAGGAAATGAGTACAATTTCATGTACAATTATTAAAAATTGACCAGAAAGCAAATTTTTACACTTGATTTTCAGAGAATTTTCCAAAATTCTCTTGAATGAAATTGGTTTTACCTACATTCATAATTTCATAGCCTATATTAGACAACACTACAGGCCTGACCTGAGGCCAACAAGTTAACAACTATAAATCATAATTTCCGAGCCATTTCACAGAGCAAACTTAAATGAGAACCATAATTTATATACGAGGCCTATAAATAATTCAATACTCCTAAGTTTCTGCAAAACATACAATCACAGTGCATTCACTGCATTATAAACTGCAACAAAAAATAAATAAAATTGCACAACGATCACTTAACGAAAAGTTTTCAAAACAATGTAAATCTTTATACTCACTTTCCATGCTGTGTATATTTTTTGAACTCTTCGGAAGAAAGTTTCTTTGTCAATTTGAATTGACATCTTGATCGACCATTCGCGTCCCCGGCGTTAGATTGCAGAATGAAGATCTATCATGAAAAAGCACTGGTAAAATGAATCCAAAACAAAACTGCGGGATTCGCGGGTAGCAGAATTTCATTCTTCTTGGTCTCTTTTGAGTAACTCAGAAACCTAAGAGCCTTCCGAAATCGTGCGAAACATTTATGTTCTCTCTAGTAAATAACTAACTCTGTAAATATTTTTTAATTATTTTCAAATATGGATTGTGTATTTGTAATTTAATCTGTGATTTGATTGTTTAAGCTGTGACCTAATGATAATTACATAAATGCAGATGAGTGTTGCGGGTTCGTCCCAGGTCTGTGAGTCAGTTTCTGGTCAGAATCGTCATGGAGGCGTGGTGGTTGAGCAATGCAAAATTGGAGCAGTGAATTACGAGTTCGAGACCCCAACCTTCTGTCAATGTTTTGCGATGTTAAGAATCGGCGACAAGCCTGCGGCCAAATAAACGCTGAAACCGCTATATCCTATCACTCACAGCAAACCGTGATTGTTTTTGAACGCACTTATGTAAACAAATCGCAATAACACTTGGTTAAGGATAAGAATATTTAATATGATTCTGAAATGACTATTACTAGGTATCGCCATTACGCTGTGCTATTATCCATAAAATCTTGCCAGAATCGTTGACCTGGAAATGTAACTGCGACAAATGTATAGTTACATCTAGCAATTTTACAGCATAAATCATTTCAACTACTTTTAGGTAGAACTGATTCAACATTTCCCTTTAACTTATAGCAGTCAATTTTTTATCTGGGGTATATTTTTCGTAAGGTTCTGATGACACAATTTAACTGAAAACCAAGTTTCTATGAAGAAAATAGGATAGATTTAGAGATGGAGTCTCTCGTATGTACCTAAGAAGCTTTAATAATTATTTGAGAAAACTTCTGACTCAATTTTTTCATTGAAACTTCACTAATATCTATTTCAAAAACCAATTTTGTCAATACAAACTTTTTGACGTATTCGTGTCTAACATCTTCCAGGCGTGTGTCAGAATCGTTACTGAAAAACAGCCTTTCACTTGAAAATACATATATGTTGCTCAATTAAATTAAGGAAATGTATTTCCTATTAAGTTGCTTAAAATTTTGAAACACAATCAAGTGCCATTATGCTCATTCCATGGGTTTCGTCTCATAACTTGTCAAATAATTCATCAGTAATTAAGTTCAAGTCAGATCAGGCGGGCATATTTAGTCAATGAAAATTTAACCGCAATATGGCGTCAGTGCATGGTGGCAATGACTTCAAGGTCGTCTACATGGTAGATCATAGATATTTTTATGTTCTCACTGCCATGTAACACAGACGCTGTCCATTACGTGTAAAGACAATGCTTGAATTCTGCATATTGTACCCATTGTGAAATTGTTAAATTCACCACGTGCATCGATGGTCAGATATAATTACTCATAGTTCAAGCGTAGCTGGAATTTCTTTGTAATTGTAGTGTCAGCGTTGAGAAGTAAAATTTTTCCTGTCCTCGATTTTAAACATCCCAAAATGCTTACTGCTAGCTGGGGTTTTGAACATTCTACTCACTGCTCTAATATTGTTATTCCCAACCATCCGGTCACTTCGCCGGTTTTGACCAGAATTTCCTCGTGTAGTTGGGATCGAACCAGCAACTCACTGATTTAACCACCGTACTCTGAACTATTGCCACTGGGCCACCCTGCCAGTTTTTTTCAAGCACGGTTGCACTCAGTTCAAGCATTGCTGGACTCAGTTCGAGCGTTGCTGGTTTCAGTTCGACTGCTGCTGGACTCAGAGCATTGCTGGACTCAGTTAGAGTATTGCTGGATTCAGTTCGAGCATTGCAAGACTCAGTTCTAGCATTGCTGGACTCAGTTCGAGCGTTGCTGGACTCAGTTCGAGTGCTGCTGGACTCAGAGCATTGCTGGACTCAGTTAGAGTATTGCTGGACTCAGTTAGAGTATTGCTGGATTCAGTTCTAGCATTGCTGGACTCAGTTAGAGTATTGCTGGACTCAGTTCTAGCATTGCTGGACTCAGTTCGAGCGTTGCTGGACTCAGTTCTAGCATTGCTGGACTCAGTTCGAGTATTGCTGGACTCAGTTCGAGTATTGCTGGACTCAGTTCGAGCATTGCTGGACTCAGTTCTAGCGTTGCTGGACTCAGAGCATTGCTGGATTAAGAGCATTGCTGGACTCTATGCGTGATTTTATTTATTTATTTTATTTATTTATTGGCGGGCGGCTGTTTAACATATATCGACATAGCCAAAAAAGGAATTTTTGACTCAATAACGCTTATATTTTGAGTTTTAGTACCCCAAAACTTCTGTACAACAAGATTTGTTAACGTCTATCTTGCATGGTTCCCATTGTAAATAACAAAGTTAGAGAAGGTAACTGAGGAAGGGTACATATCATTATGTATTTGTTGAGAATCCGTGATGTATTCGAAAATTTGTTTAAAACAGAGGAAAAACGACGGGAACAAAGTTATATGTAACACGTGTCGATTTTAATCAATATTTTTCAATTAAAATCGTCGTGAATTGTTGAATAAGACACACATGTTTCGATTCGATGACTATGAATGCTTAATCGAAGCATGGAAGTACAAGACCAGAACCCAGAGCAAATGGTTTTTCGTTTGATTACTCTGAACCCACAGCGGTCTCACCGCACTAAAACCTGTTACAGTTTGCCTTCCGTTCCGTCGGTCTTAGGTTTGTTCCATCAGTCATCGAGGGAGCACACATACACCCCCCACCCTCCAGCGCGGCGGTCTCCCGCCTAATGGCACAATTGGCGGGCTTTCCTCTCCAGCGAGCTCATCGATTGCTAGAGTGGGGAGGGTCGGGCCAATCCAATGTGGACTCCTCTTCGTGACCACACCGAGACTCATACAATTATCTCCCCTTAATCGCATCTCCTCTTAGGATAGCAGCAGCTCGACACATTGTTACATATCGACACTCCAATAGGCGTGATGTCGTCCGTCCTGTACAATATAGTGCACTTAAGTTGCCATCTTGCGGCGTAATGTTGACACTCCGCGTAACGCCTCCTCGGCCACCGGAGCTTGAGCAGCGGGAAACATTTTCCTGCAGCACAAAATTTGCCTTGATATTAATTTATTGAACGAGGAAAATTTTGTTGAGGAAAGAAACTTGCTCGAATGGAATAATTGATTTGCAAAAAAAAATTTCACCTGAAGAAAAATTTTAACTAGGAGTGAAAATATTACATTTTACTTTAAATCAAAATTTTTAATGAGAACAAACATGTCAGGGGAAAATATTTTTGTGGAAGAAAACTTTGTCAATCCAAATATAAAATCAGGCAAGAATTTACAATAACACAACTGCTGTCACAATAGTTTCAACAGCAATAACACCAATAGCAAAAGAACCAGGAAGCAATAACAGTAACAGTAATAATCCAAACCATGATATAAAACAGCTGTATAACAGACGAGGTAATAACATAGACGTATAAAACAGCTGTATAACAGACGAGGTAATAACATAGAAGTATAAAACAGCTGTATAACAGACGAGGTAATAACATAGACGTATAAAACAGCTGCATAACAGACGAGGTAATAACATAGACGTATAAAACAGCTGCATAACAGACGAGGTAACACAGACGTATAAAACAGCTGTAAAACAGAAGAGGTAACATGGACGTATAAAACAGCTGTATAACAGACGAGGTAACACAGACGTATAAAACAGCTGTAAAACAGACGAGGTAATTAACACAGACGTATAAAACAGCTGTAAAACAGAAGAGGTAACATGGACGTATAAAACAGCTGTATAACAGACGAGGTAACACAGACGTATAAAACAGCTGTAAAACAGAAGAGGTAACATGGACGTATAAAACAGCTGTATAACAGACGAGGTAACACAGACGTATAAAACAGCTGTAAAACAGAAGAGGTAACATGGACGTATAAAACAGCTGTATAACAGACGAGGTAACACAGACGTATAAAACAGCTGTAAAACAGAAGAGGTAACATGGACGTATAAAACAGCTGTATAACAGACGAGGTAACATAGACGTATAAAACAGCTGTATAACAGACGTGGCAACATAGACGTATAAAACAGCTGTATAACAGACGAGGTAACTCAGACGTATAAAACAGCTGTATAACAGACGAGGTAACACAGACGTATAAAACAGCTGTATAACAGAGAGCGGACGTAGCACTGATACGCTCATTTATCGGGCCAAGCTGTGTCAGGTTGACTCACACAAGGGCACAAAGTGTATCGTTACATGGACATAGTTTCACTTATTTCTTTGAGTGATGCACTTCAATGGGGGTTTATTTAGCTTCGTTGACTCACTATTGGCCCAGCGTCAAGTGAAGCGTTATTAACGAACATTGATTTGGTATTGAGGAGAACACTCAGAGGTATGAGTGTGACTTTGTCTAAACGGTGATGAAAATTTGTGTCTTTGTGTCACTTATAGTACAATATGACGCGTTCATTTTTCTAAGTGAATTATATTCACGAAGTGTTAAAAGGTTAGGTATTTAATTGGATTTTAAATTAAACTTTAAATATGGCACTTAATTAATGGTCTTATGAGACGACGTTGTATGAATATTGTACATATACCATATATTTTGAAGTTTCGTTATTTAAATTATTTATTCATGAAATACTTCAGGAATGAAAGAGTGATGGCACGTGGCACCGGCACGTGGCACTGGCACGTGGCACCGGCACGTGGCACTGGCACGTGGCACTGGCACTGGCACGTGGCACTGGCACTGGCACGTGGCACTGGCACGTGGCACTGGCACGTGGCACTGGCACGTGGCACTGGCACGCGGCACTGGCACGTCGCACTGGCACGTGGCACTGGCACGTGGCACTGGCACGTGGCACGTGGCAGTTGCAGCGACTGGTGCTGTAACAAGGCAGGTGTTACAAGCGTTGCTGCAATTAGACATAACGATCGCAGTGACTTGCATGTGACATCACCACCACCAACACCACCACCACCACCACCACCACCACCACCACCGCCCACCGCCGCCCACCGCCGCCGCCCCGCCAGGTGTGCAGGGACATTCATTACCGCA